TAGGGTGCCCGGAGTCTTATTTCAGATAAAATGATGGTTTCGCAACCTACTTTATACAAATACAAGTAACTTAGTCGCTCGTTATGGCAAATCACAAGTTTGCATCATAGTCGCTCCCCCTATAAGGGTGTATTACCGGGGAGGCCTGGCCTTCCTTGAGATTTATGTCTGCTATATGGCCCAAGGAGACTCGGAACGGTGTGGCGTGGTTTCCACGTGTCGAAATTATACGCTGCGCAACGCGAGTTCGAGTCCCGTTGAGGGCGTTGATGAAACCAGTTCAGGTGAATTAAAAACGTAAGTCCGATCGAGTTGAACCGGGATAAAAATAGCTTTCATCAATCTAGGCTGTAGGAAATTTAGTGCAAATGTGAAACCAATTTATACATTATATATGCATATTATACTATTTTATAGTATATTATAATGTGATCATATAGAATTAGTCTATTCAAATGTCACATATAGTTCTTACCCAATTTTCTACATTAACTCAGCACGGATTTATCTCAGTCTCAGGGCGATGAGTCAAATACTAAAATAACAGTTACAATTATCCCATTTTGTTTGAGCTGGTTAAAGATTGATAGTTCATATGAGTATGCCTCAGTTCCGCCCGGGAGGGGAATAACTTTCGTAAGCAAAGCCGTGTGAAATCCAATGGAAAAATGCGGCCTATTCATATGATTGAGGTAAAATTCAACCATCAGTCCTTCATCACATTAACGTCTACTCCTGGCTGAGTGTACATGCGTGTGTATGTGCATGTGTCTGTAGCTGACTAAATTGGCAGCCATAACTCGGACGGATAGCAACCAGGCTTAATTAGTCAGAACGGTGATTGCGTAATCCCGAATGTACATTAGTCGAAATTCAGTCCCATCTGGTAGACGTGAGCCTTCTTCACACAGACCCCACGACATGTCACAACATGTGTTTGGCCTCCGGACGCAAAGGATACGTGTCCGGGATTGGTACCGCCCTTCTCGGGTTGGATGCGCCCTGTCCGTCTGAGACCAGCCGGCCGACAAGATGCGACTAGCTCTGTTTGTTTGTCTACCTCTTTCAGTTCCTCGACAACTGTACCAACATCCTGCAGGCCACCTCGGCTGTTCGACGGCTCTTCGACTCCCGCGGCATAGAACACTTTTCGCTGGCCTCGCTGGAGCGAGACGAGCTCGTCTACGCATCGATGGGCCAGCCCTGGGTCGACCCCGCGGCTACGGAGAGGACGAGCGCCCTTCGAGCCTTCTTCGTCCGTCTGGCGCAGGTCGTCGAGCAGATGGAGGACTATCAGAAGCTCTTGCAGTCAATGACCCGAAACGGTAATTCGGCGTCACCAGCCCACGCCGGCAGACCCTTTTGCCGATTGGTTGTGATGTCGGCTTATCCAATAGAACGTGTCAAGTTGGATCCGACGACTTGACGACTTGCGACGAATAAGAACTGTAGTTATCCCATTTTGTGTAAGAAGATGGAGGATTGACAAGAGAAACTTCCCACTTTTCCGGGAAATTTAAATCAGCTCCGTTCCTCAAAAGATATTCTCATCTCCGTAAGAATGGACAGCAGTTTCGACCTCATTCGCACCTCCAGCGCGACTCGAACCCGGCTTGTGGAAATGCAATGGAGAGTTTCGACAC